TTATCCTAAAATTTCAGCCTCCTAGACTCCGTGATTCCCGAAATATTAACTTACCCGTGAAAAACTTTCACGGAGCCGTAGGTGATACCCAAGAGTGCGAGAACGCTGAATTTGAATGGGCAAGGTTGAGCAGGAGCAGGGGATTATTCCCCTAAAATTTCAGCCTCCTAGACCCCGTGGTTTCCGAGATATTAACTTATCCCTAAAAAACTTCCATGGGGCCGTACGTGTTACCTGCAGGTACAGGAATGCTGAATTTAAATTTGCCGCGTCACCCGTTGGCTGGGAACACTATACCAAAATTTCAGCTGCCTAGCTTTTGTGGTTCCCGAGTTGAAAGTGGGGAACAAAATGTGGGACACACACGTACACACAGACAACCCCGTGACAATATGCGTTTTGTAACGCTGTTACACAGCACAAAACGCATAAAAACTGGGCCTCATCAGCACAGCTCATGCGTACGTCTGTCTGCATTACCTGTTGCGCCTGTGATACAGCAAATACCATCTTCTCGTGCTTATCCATAAGCTTCACTGTGGAAGACCAACTTCGTGCACATTTTCTGCGTGTTTCTCGATAACTAAATTCATAATAGACATATTGCATACACTGAAAATTCATGTAATTCTCGTAACTAGAATAAACAATTGGCCAACAACAGGCTGCCCGTGCGAAGATGCGTTTTTTGCATAGTTTCCCGCAGTTTTTGTCGCTACCGGCACCAGTTTTTCCGGCAAATGCTTCTAGCTAAACAAGACTGGCCGCCAGAACTGTCAGAAAACAGCTCCTCAAAATTTCAGCTTTTTAGCTTTTCTGGCTCCCAAGTTAGCAACTTACCTAAAAAAAACTTTCATGGGCTCACAACGTGGGTACCACGCATGCCTGATGTCTGGGTTTGTGCTCACTACCATATACCTGGATGGGGAATATCTCCCTAAAATTCCAATCCTCCAGCTTCTCAGGTTTCCGAGCTAGCAACTTATTCGAAAAAAAATTCCACGGGCCTGCACATGCATACTCGGCGGCTGGGTTTGAGTTCATTAATACTTGCTAACTTTGGCGGGGCCGTACGTGGGTATCACGTGGGTAACACCACCCATCTTGGGAAAGAGGGCCCATACATGCATGTAAATCAAGTGCCCAAAGTTACAACTTTGTAGCTTCCGTAGGTCTCGAGATGAAAAATCGGTATAGACGAACATACAGACAACTCCTCGTCAATATGCGTTTTGTGCATTGCATAGATGCAAAAAATGCATAAAAAGAAGCGCGCTAAATCTGAATTCCTTAACTGACACAAGATAGTGAATATTTCTGTGAAATTTCAGCTTTCTGTTTTGTTTTTTTCCAGAATTGTTTCTTCGCTAAAAGTTTTTGGCGTTTTTTTCAGGTATCCGCATGTGAGTTCCAGATATACGTAGAGACTGATTTTAAAAGAGGAGGGCTGCACGTGGGTGAAAATATGCTCCAAAAATTCTAACCTCTTGGGTTTCCTGGTCGCTGGGTTGAAAGTGGGAGACACAGTGTGGACACACACACATACAGACAACCTTCTGACAATATGCATTTTTGCATTTGCATAAATAAGCAAAAACTCCTGGAATGTGGGACGGAATTTCGAATATTATAAACTTTACCGCCAAAGCCAAGCAGTATCGATGTGGCAATTGCCAATCGCAAACAGAGTCATCTGGCTTGGCCCATTCGGTTGACGAAAAAATGCTTCAGCTTGCAAACGGCATTCCGCTTGAACATCAGCTGAGAAATCTGATGAGACCAAACGATTGATCTGAAATACAGCTCAGACATCTGAACAAGTAAATAATACCCCTCCCCCTCCATTCCTCATCCTACACGCAGAATTCGATTAAAGATCCGCATATAACAGACTTTTGCTGCGGGTTTCAATAGTCTTTTCCCTTTTTTCTTCAGCCTTTTTAATAATCTGTTAATTAGCACTGTACCTAACTTCTGACGTACCGACTTCTTGAAAAAAATTTTTTTCCCAAATTTTCGAAGCAATATGACGAATTTAGGTAATTATACTCTAGTACGATAATCGCCGATAAAGTGGAATATTAATTTTTACACAATTTTTGTACATAATTTGTACATAGTCTGTCGATTCTAATAACTTGCGCAACAGAAAAAACTCGCAGCAAAGGGTAAAAAAGACAGTGTAAGGTAGTGAAAAATTTATCTGGGGACCTCAGAAAAAAAAAACCCGCAGAAGATGTAATCAACAGAAAAACCATTTTCACAACAAAAAAAGTGTTAAAGCATACATACTGCACATGTATCTAGTATGTATTATACATGCCACGATGCTAAATACACCATGCACGTATTATATGCTTTAAAAAAAAGAATTATAAATATTCACAACTCATTTCG